TCATCATAAATCCTCCCTTGTTCTGAAGCTGCGACAAACGCACAAAGCAGCACCCCAAGTTCAGACAGGTTTGAAGGCCAAGCACGCTCTTGAAACATGGCGTCTGAAAGCTGAGCTCCCGTAGACTAGTTGTCCTTGAAACGCACCCATGTGAAGTTCCATGTGTTTGGGGGCAGGTGGTCCTCAAGCTCATCTTCTGTCTATGAAGCCAACAGTCCAAATCATGTGTACCAAGATTAGCAAGTGTTCCAAAGAACATGGGGTGCCTTCACAATCCTTGGGTTATTGCCCATATAAACCCTACTTTAGGAAGATCTTCGTCAAACTTGAACGAATCTTTGACAAATGAGCTCTGTCAGTCTTGGGCTATCAGGGAGTAGGATTGCCCAAACGAAGCCCAGCTGCGCATGGTTTCCACCACCTCGGAGACTTTGCAGGGGGCTCGTTGCCAAGTTTCGTCGTTGACGTTTGACACGCTTCGGATTCCACGAGAGACTGCTTCCCAGCACAAGGACGCGCGGAGGAAGTGCAAAAGGAACAGCTGGCCCAAGAGTAGCAATCGCCATTTAGGGTTCAGGCGTCAGGGCAAGCAGGGCGTTGACCCAGCTTGCCTGCTCTACGGATTGGGGCTTAGGTCTAGGAATTGGGATGCGGTCAAGATTGAAGGATCATAATGGTTTGGGGTTTAGTCCTGGATCTCGTCTCGCATACAAAACTCAAAAAGCAAAGCACAAGCCCCCGACCTCCAAAGATGGGAGGGCCTAAACTGGCCCGAGCCCAAGCAATGAACCCCAGCAACTCCTAACCCCTGTCCAAGATCAGCACGCCGCTAGACCATGCTAGACCGCAACACTTTAAGGTCCAAGGCACCTGGTAACGAAAAGGCACCGTTGCCCAAGGGCCGCTGGGCGTTAAAGCACCCTGCGCAGTTTTTGGGGGTGGGCTTGCGAGGCTACAGGGTTTGGTAGGAGGAATAAACCTATGAAGCCAGCTGAATCCAACTTTGTGTAGCTGAGGTCTAAATCCGAAAACCCTCTCCTCCATTCACAAAGCCTAAGGGAGCTCCGTGAAACCTCAAATCTCCATCCCCAAGCTCCTGAACCCTTCCTTAGCTGCTCCCTTATCCTCTAACTTCTCCTGCCTCTAGGACTTCGGTTGGCCGCCCGCCCACGCCGCTCATCCGGGCCTCTGTGACTTGGGTGCACTTGAATGGGTATGTGCCAACATGAAAGTCTCCAATATCTAGCGACCTGAAATACTGACTCTTTGAAGCTGCCCAGCGCGGCAGTTTTGGTGAGGTGCATCCAACCGGGTCCAGGTGCAAACAGGCCATACCGCGCAGCTCCGAAGTCAAAGATCTGCAAGCTGGGCAAAGAGGCTTGTAGGGGACGTACTACGCTTCAAGTTCTACGGCTGTTGAGAGATCCAAGGCTGCATGACTCGGATCCCGTGAGCTTCAAGGTCGGATTTGTCATCTTCGCAGAGTTTATGGGTACAGGGATTTCGGAAATTCAAGCTTTTGGGGCTCATGCGATAGGTTGAGGCTTTGGGCTTGGGGCTTTAGCTTCCTGAAGAGTATAGAATGAGGCGCAGGATGAGCATGAGTGAGAGCATTGCAGCGCCAGCTAGCTCTTTGGAAACGGTCTCGGAACTGAGGACGTCATCATGGTCCACCAAACAGAGGTGAACCTCCAAACAGTCTGTAAACGGCCCTACCCGATGCTTGCTCGCGGCTAACACTCTAGAACTCAGATTCTGCAGCTGCATGTGGCAAGAATATTAAGCAGCTTCGGCCATCTAGGCCCATAGAGATCCTGTTCTCATGCATTCAGGGGCCAACACTTCATTGTGATTGGTGTGCGTTGCCTTGAAAGCTTCCTCAGCTGGCAGGATAACTCCCAGACCTGACACAGTGGTGAACTGGGTGTCAGGGCGCTGCTGGGATTCTGGTTACGATTCTTGAAGAAAAGCGTGTGGAGTTTTGAAGTTAGGGATCCGAGTTGGGCGTCTAGGGTTTGGCGTCATGGGCCAATCATCTTAGATTTTGATAGTTGTTGCTCGCATTTCAACTGGATCTAGGGATCAAGGGCTTGGGTGTGACGAGGAGTGGGGGCTTAGAGATGAAGTTCAGTGCCAAAGGTCCAGAGCATCCGAACGCAAGCTGTCAAGCTTTCCAAAATGTTAAACTCCCCACCCTTAAACCCATGTTATTGTTGGCTGCTACAGCTGTCCCCCCTATACACACCTCAAGGATGCTTGCAAAAACCGACCAAGAATGTCCCGTAGGTTTGCAAATTAAAATAATATGAAACTTCTAAAGCATACAGGTCGCCTTCTCGGGCCCTAGAGAAATGACTCAATATTTAGCAAGGTTCAGGGTAGATCATCGTGTTAAGGGTATGTGGAGGATCCTACACGCTCAACCCTCAACAACAGTTTGAAGAAAGACCCATCTGAAGACGTCGTCGTTCCGGGCTGCGGGGTTTAGGGTTTAGGGCATAGCGTGCTGGGCAACAGTTAAGGCAGAGCGAAGCTCCTTCGCACAAGGTTGCAAGCAGCATGGAGGAACAACATGTCTGATGAATCAGAGCCCACCTTTTTGCCACAATTTTTGCAAAGGTGCTGAAACACATCAGTCACTCTGGGGGGATGTCAAAGCTGCTGAGTTGGTGCCATTTAGCCCAAACAGCGCTGCATCTGAGATGAATTCACTGGCGTGGGCTAGGCGCTACCCAAAAAGCGCAAACACTAGTGCTGAGGGGCTGGGAGCTAAGTATCATGTAGCCGTCGTGCATTTTGGCAGTATGGCGTGTTGTATTATTCCGGTAGGGCGACCTCTCATTAACCCACATTCCCAGAAATCGAATTGGGACAGGTCATCCTTTACGCGCCCTTTTGCCCCTTAGCATTCCCAAAGCCCTAAACTCCCTAATTATATCCTAAATCCTGAACTGCACAAATCCTAAACCTGACGGCTTTGAACATGACTCTCCTGCTCAGCAAGCTGTGTAGATCCACAGAAACAAAGACAAAGCTTTAAGAACCGCGTGTCCTCAGCTTGTAAGGATGAGAGGAAAGGAGCAATTTGTCACCTCCCCCCGTATGAACCCCACCACCCCCATAATGTTGAATGTGTTTAAGGGCAACTAACAGCGGGCATATGGGGGCCTTGAGTTTTTGGGCCTACATTAACCCCCAATTCTGGTGCAGAAATGGACCTCTCTTCACACCAAAGCATATCCCAGGAAAACCACCAGAAAAAACAATGCATCAGTTTGGATACAACGCTTCCAAAATTGCAGCCCCGAGTTCGAGAAGAACGGCTCGTGCTGGCATCCGGCAACGCGGACGTCGTCGTGGGCGTGGTGCTCGCTGAGGTGATGCCCACGGGCTGTTGTTGCGTGGAGCAGTGGATTCCACCTCCCCCGAATGCAATGGGGTCCACCTGAAAAGTCGTCAAGTCACAGTTTGCATCAATTTAGATGAGGTCGGAGGGTAGGTGGAGGGAATGCGGGCACTGGGTTTTGGATCTAGGGTTCGGCAGGGTTTCGGGTTCAGGCTTGCGGCTTAATGAGGTTTAGGTGCAAACATGTGCAACAAATCCACAATATGGAAGTTGTGGGCTTTTCAACCCCACCTTTGATGTTCGCGGGAAGTTGCTAGAAGGATCCAATATGTAGACTTGCGAGGCATATTTCTTTCACAAAGTTTTGGCAAGCGACCTTCCAACTTTTCAGTTCTCGCAGGCACGCGGCAAGCAAAGCACAACGGAGTTTCGCTCTGGACACTTTACAATTACCGGCGTGCCCGAATGCACTGCTTCAGGGGTAGCATCCAAAGACGGAGGCCCTGATTCTAGCATATTCGGTACTTCTTTGGCCCCTCATGTCATTAACCCGAGAACGCGAACAGATATCCCCAACCCCTGAATCCAAAAAGCGATAAACTCTAAACCCGAAATCCTCAACCCTAACTCTCACCCGAGCCCCAAACACTGAAACCGAAATCCTCACACCCAACACCTGAAAAGCACACGTCTGAGCCACGTTCAAGCTCTCCACAGTCCTTCCCGGATAAAGCTCCTGGCGCAACTATTTACTCATCAAGGTCAAGGCTTAAGAGACCAAAGTACTGGAATTGAGTACCTGATGTTGGCTCCTGACTCCTGATGCCTTCGTTGTCGGTTCCTGCGAAGCCTGTTGAATATCTTTCCGTACTTTTGTCCGATATCAGAAAATGTCATTGTTTTGTTGCTCAACTTCGCCCAAATGATGCCTGGCATTTTTGAGTGGTGTTCGGCTGAAATTTTGCAACTGCATGGGCTACGGTCAATGCTTCGGGTTCCGCGCGCTACCGCGAAATATTACAATCAGCGCGATGCCTGGCTCCGGGGAGTCAGCTGGGTCGCGCTGCATTGGGTTTGAACTTAAGAAATGTTTTGTACAGCTTAGGATGTTCATGCATGAAGCTTCAATTGCTGTAGATTCACAATAAATGCTCCCAGTGTTGCTGCAATTCAGGCGTGGGAGCTGGAATCTTCTGTCGTAGATGATTTCGCAACCTATCTTGTATGTCTTACCTGAGAGGAGCTCCCTGAGTTGTCTTGAAAATTTGTGCGTTGAGCAAGCCAGAGTAATAAAGGCAGAAGCCGTTGAAAGCGCGATGAAACTCGATAATTTGCAGCCGTTTTTTTCGCAACGACCTTTTGACCGCCACGCCTGAGACACACGTTTCTAGCAGGAGCCTCTGCAGTTCATTCATTATGAATGAATATAATTACTGGTATTTGGGAGACTCTACAAAATGTGGCCAATTGCAATTCGGCGAGAATTCTCCTGTCTGGTTGAACCTGGCACGCTCGCACAGTGGCCCCATTCGCCAGCAGTCCCAACAGCATACCTTAACCACTCAGGCCAGAAGAATGTCAAGCAGGAACCACACCTCTGTCCACATCGAGTCTTAATAGTTCCTGTCAACTGTGTGTCTCTAACCCATGGCTCCTGTAGCTTGGCAACAGCTGCAGCGTCGGTGACGCTATCCCCAAAGTTCTGGCTCACCACCACACCGTTGGCTACCTCAGAAAAAATTTAGGGCTTGGTTTTGAGCATTTGGGATAAAAATGAAGGGCTCCTTCAACCTTTGGACTATGCTTTGGGGGCTCCCTTTGAAAAGAAGGATCCTACGACGCCGGGGTCTACAACGAAGCGTGTCGTGTGGGGAAATAAATGCCTTGCAGGAGTGGACCCCCTTTCAGGGGCTGAAATTTGGCAACCGCTTCAAAAGCCCGTTCAAGCAAAGACGAAGCAGCTTCCGTACTTCTAGAAGTGACATGTAGAGCCTGTAGAGCACACTAACTCGAAGCACTGAAGCTCAACCAACGTCTAAGTTGCGGAAGCTTTCGCAATCAGGTTTGTCAAAAGCTGTTTGCTTTCTAACCGCTGTCAGCCGCAACGCATTGCTGCAAAACTTGCCCTCGCTCAGATCAGACGCGAAAAATTCTCCTGGGTATAGATACCCCCCACCCTACCATTGTTGCTGTAAGTATTGTTTAATGCCACACCCGAGCATTGAGACGCGCAATATTAAGGGTAGGGAGTAGTTTAAGCGTCAGTGCTATCTACAATAAAGGGCACAGCCCGACACACCACCGCCCTCTGCAGACGGCCCAAGACGAGATTGAACGCCGACTTGGTCCCGTTCTTGCGCTGTCCGGGATGCCATGTGGCTGCTTACAGGCTTCCAAACTGTTCGACGCTTTTGAACATACGCACTGCAACCTCAGTACAATCTGTGAAGTCTGTACTTTACCCTTTGTTATAAGGACCTCAAGCGGGGTCTCCGCGTGGTCCTGAAAAACGGGGAACTACAACTGAAGCATCACAGGTCACTCCCGCAGGTAACTCCACTGCCAACCTCTGTTCGAGACAATGTAAGCGGCGGACGCCGCTTCTTGTTGTTGACGCAGCACAAGCGTAGGCGAAGCATAGACATGAAACATGACATGCCCAGCCAACCAACCGCAAACACCGTCATCGAATCGTGCCGACGATCGAATCGATCGAATCGAACTTGCCCGTTACCGCGGCTCACTGCATTTCTGCTGTGGAAACGTTTTGCGTGTCTCGGTTTAACCGGAGGAAACGCGAAAAACACGAAAAACGCGAAAACGCGAAAAACGCGAAAAACGCGAAAACGCAAAAACGCGAAAAACGCGAAAACGCAAAAACGCGAAAAACGCGAAAAGTGCGAAAAGCGCAAACATCAAAACAATACGCGTAAGTCACGACAAACGCAGGAGCCCTAAACCCTTCGCGTACAGCATGTTATAGCATGTTATAGCATATTGTAGTAGATGACTGTACAGTCTGGTACGATGTAGTTTTTCGATTGTATATAAACACATATTAAAGCTTAAAATATATTGAAGCATACTGTAACATAATTATTTGCAATATTGCATACTACAGCATACAGAAATCAATGCCAGCATACTATACTAAAATATAGTATATGATAACACAGTACAGCATATTATAGTTTACTTAGCATGCTAGAAGATGCTTGAATATGTATTACATTCTAGTACATTCTAGGATATTCTAGCACATTAGAGAATATCGTAGCATATGCTAGTATGCTATGATATATTACAGTATATCGCAGCTTATTATACAATAAGATATAATATATCGCAGTGTAGTCCAGAAGATTATACAGTATACGATAATACATTATGTAAAAATCTGTTCGAATATATTAAAGAATTTTGGAATATACTAAAATGTACAATAGAATATTACAGTGTATTAAAGCATGTTATAGTCTATGATAATATTACAGTATACTATGGCGTACTATGGTCGACTAATATAATATGATGAGAATAATGCATTATGGAATAGTGTAATATATGACAGCACTATACAGCTGGTTACAGTAAAATAAAACATATCATAATATATTCTAGTCTTACAGCATATTATGGTACATTATAGTATATTGGTATATCATAATTTCTTATGATACATCTAGAACAGTATGGTGTATTGAGGCATGATTACGCATATCACGCATTTTCTAAGCATATTATAGCTTT